CGTGAAGAACCAGTGGCATCTACATCTGCAGAACGTGAAGAACCAGTGGCATCTACATCTGCAGAACGTGAAGACACACCAGTGGCATCTACATCTGCAGAACGTGAAGAACCAGTGGCATATACATCTGCAGGAGATGATACAACGTTTAAAGCCATTCCCCCGTGTTTAGTGTAGACGCCTTAACACGTTTGGAATCGACAGGAGTAAAGTTGGGACTTACGAACAAATCGACTTACGAACAGACCTCTGGAACCGAACTAGTTCGTAAGTAGAGAAGGCCCTGTAATCCGATGCCGTGAAATTACATGATGAACAGCCACGGCGTCCCCGGTGAACTTGGAGCGTTGGCACCAACGCTGGGTCCAACGGATGCAACCACATTTCATATTCGCCGGCTACTTGCTCAGAAAACACCATGCAACGTTGGGCCAACGCTGGCGCCATCTCGGTGCTCAATGTGCACCTCAACGTGATGACGGCCTCGTGGGGAGACCGGTGGTTGGGCAGGGCCAAGGGAAGAAAACACAAAATGTCACCCAGTTCTTAGCATGGGCTGCCCGGTTGAGTTCAGGATTATGATTGGTTAAATTTCGATTTAAAGCTTTCGTGACTGCAGGGATTCAAGATTCCAAGACCCGATGAGCAACCCACCCACCCCTCCACCCCCCCCCCTCCCCCCGCCCGTGTCGCCTCCAACATACTTTTGGAGGCAAGTGCTGTTAACCTCTTCTTGGTTCTTTCGGTAAAGTCACGTAGAAGGGAAATAATAAAATAATAAAAATTGTTTTATTTTTCCCTTCTACGTGACTAATAAAAGAATGAAAATAAAACATGTTTTATTTTTTATTATTTTATTATTTCCCTTCTACGTGACTTTACCGAAAGGACCAAGAATATGATTGGTTAATTTCACACCTTGGCTGTAACGACCAACATTACACCTACACTGAACGCTTTTTTATTTTACCAGGTACGGCCCACTGAGCTATGTAGCTCATTTTCAGAAGCAACCTGGCCACAATTGATAGCTCAATTAAGTGGCTTATCACGTGGAAATGTATTGCAATCGAATACTAGAAACGCGTGATTCTAAATGCGGAGGTGAAAACCGTAGGATCCGGAGACAAATGCACGCGACAACGGGGAAATAGAACACGCAAACTCCAAATATACAGCTGGCGTCAGTGTCGGGATCGAACCCACGACCTCCTGTATACCAGGCGAGGTAGTCGACATCTCCTAGCCACGGTGGCGCCCCAATTACGATTGGTAGTTCGCGCTTTGGGTCAGACCACGTGGGTATCTTTTGTCAGTTAACAGCTGTGCACCCTCCACACCCGACACGGCCACACACATCAAGTTGACGCCTGAACATCTGTACCGATTGCTGTAGGGGTTGTTTTTTCTCTCTCTCCAAGTAACCGGTTGCGCTGAATAGCAAGGGAAATTTTGCATCTTTTTGAGAACACACGTCACTTTCAAGTATCGAAAACAATTAACCGGTATTTGACTAAGTATGCAACGGTTAGATATACGATCATCTCGACTAACCTGCATCAGTTCCTTCCTTAAAACAACCCCCATCACTTCTCCTCTAGCCCATCATCATCCTCCTCCTGCGACTACTCTCTGCCCCTGGTCTCCAGCTTCGACCAGGCCTGACCCCTACCACTACTCCAACCCCCCATCACTACCCCAACCACTACCCCAACCACTACACCAACCCCTACCACTATCCCAACCCCTATCACTGCCCCAACCCCTACCACTACCCCAACCCCAATCACTACCCCTACCACTACCCCAACCCCAATCACTACCCCTACCACTACCCCAACCCCTACCACTATCCCAACCCCTATCACTGCCCAACCCCTACCACTACTCCAACCACTATCACTACCCCAACCCCCATCACTACACCCCAACCCCTATCACTACCACTACCCCTACCACTACCCCAACCACTACCACTACCCCAACCACTACCCCAACCCCAATCACTACCCCAACCCCCATCACTACTCCAACCCCCATCACTACCCCAACCCCCATCACTACCCCAACCCCATCACTACCCCAACCGCCATCACTACCCCAACCACTACCCCCATCACTACCCCAACCACTATCACTACCACTACCCCAACCCCCATCACTACCCCAACCGCCATCACTACCCCAACCACTACCCCCATCACTACCCCAACCCCTATCACTACCACTACCCCAACCACTACCCCAACCCCCATCACTACCCCAACCCCCATCACTACCCCAACCCCCCCACCACTACCCCAACCCCTATCACTACCACTACCCCAACCACTACCCCAACCCCCATCACTACCCCAACCCCCATCACTACCACTACCCCTACCACTACCCCAACCCCCACCACTACCCCAACCCCCATCACTACCCCAACCCCCATCACTACCCCAACCCCTATCACTACCACTACCCCTACCCCTACCCCAACCCCCATCACTACCCCACCACTACCCCAACCCACATCACTACCCCAACCCCCATCACTACCACTACCCCCACCACTACCCCAACCCCCATCACTACCCCAACCCCTATCACTACCACTACCCCAACCCCCACCACTGCCCCAACCCCCACCACTGCCCCAACCCCCACCACTACCCCAACCCCCATCACTACCCCAACCCCCATCACTACCCCAACCCCTATCACTACCACTACCCCAACCACTACCCCAACCCCCATCACTACCCCAACCCCTATCACTACCACTACCCAACCTACCCAACCCCATCCTACCACTACCCCAACCCCTATCACTACCCCAACCCCTACCACTACCCCAACCCCCATCACTACCCCAACCCCCACCACTGCCCCAACCCCCACCACTGCCCCAACCCCCATCACTGCCCCAACCCCCATCACTGCCCCAACCCCCATCACTACCCCAACCACTATCACTACCCCAACCCCCATCACTACCCCAACCCCCATCACTACCCCAACCCCTATCACTACCCCAACCCCCATCACTACCCCAACCACTACCCCCATCACTACCCCAACCACTATCACTACCACTACCCCAACCCCCACCACTACCCCAACCCCCATCACTGCCCCAACCCCCATCACTGCCCCAACCCCCATCACTGCCCCAACCCCCATCACTACCCCAACCCCCATCACTACCCCAACCCCCATCACTACCCCAACCACTATCACTACCCCAACCCCCATCACTACCCCAACCCCCATCACTACCCCAACCACTATCACTACCCCAACCCCCATCACTACCCCAACCCCCATCACTACCCCAACCCCCATCACTACCCCAACCCCTACCACTACCCCAACCCCAACCCCTACCACTACCCCTACCCCCATCACTACCCCAACCACTATCACTACCCCAACCCCTACCACTACCCCAACCCCTACCACTACCCCCATCACTACCCCAACCCCTATCACTACTCCAACCCCTCCTTAACCACTCCCGCCTGTTCTCCTGTCACCATAGCGACACCACCAACACTTTCAATAATCCCACTCTTAATCTCAACCACTATCATCATATGTAAAATCTTACAACCACTATCATCTGCCGAACCTCCGATTAGCAAGGTTGGCTACGCACGGTGCGAAGGAAGCTCAACATGCAGTTCAATTGTTAAGCACCTCTGAAATAAGGCGCTATTTCTATACACGCACATACAAACACGTAAAAAGATAGCAAAATATCCTCCCTTGGCTTTTCAACTTAACTGGTGACCTTGACAGAAGCCCTATCGAACGGCACAGGCGTCCCAGGCGACGACCGAATTTGTTTGGCTGCGTCAGGTGGTGGAGGGTTCATCGCGCTGACCAACAAAGACACCCAGATCTTGTCTTAGCGGAATTGACATCGCGCCTTGGCCAATGGCGCTTCACGGAGAATGAAGAACGGCGCAACGTGTGAATCCAACACAATACGAGGAGAGGAATCAGATCTTCCGATCTCCAGCTGTTCAGCACTCCCAGGTCGTAGCGGCGCTCTTATGGCCCGATCGGGGCTTTTGCGAGCGTGGCACCCGCACGCTATGGAACGCCCTGCAGCCCCCGACTTGACATCAGGCAATCGGAGCCGGTAGATAGATTCAAGTCTGCTTTGAAAACCCATCTCGTATGAAGCGGCCTTCCCTCCTTAGTTCGGTCGGTTGGCCCTCTGGCTCTTGTTTTTTGTTTCGCTGATTGTTAATGCATTGCGCATTGGGATCCTAGGAGGGCATGCGCACGATACATTTGCATTATTATTAGAAGTAATGGAGCGAACCTGTGATGCGTGAATTAGGTAGGAGCAAAATTGATGACGGTAAATGATGATGAATGGATTGAATGATTGGGGAACGAGTGGTAAGCCATGTAATGAGATTGTGGAGAGGAAACAGGAACGAGTGGTGGTTATGAGCGGGAGATTCAGGGGGTCGTGGGGCGAGCTTGGGGGCAAACTAAAATAACCGAAACACGACTCGTTACGAGTCGCGTTCATGAGCGTGAGCCGGCTGCAACAACACTCGCTCTGCGGTTCTCTACATGTTAAGATGTTTCCAGCCAAATAGTGACGAGTGTTACATTTTACACGCGGGAGGGGAATTCGGAGCAACCCCGGAGAAAACCCCCGAGTGCGAGGGAGCAACGCTCGATCCACCGTGCAGATGGGGACAAGGCGATGTCAGCTTCACTTCTTTGCTGTAACCGCATTCTCCACCAACCCTCCACACACAGGACCATGGGCAGCCACGGACAGCCACCACCACCACCACCCAGGGCCTTTTTAGCCCACGTAGGCATCTTCATACCTCACCCGTACCCTGTGATCGATCGCCAAGGGTCCGTTAGTTAGGGGCTCACCTTTCTCGGGCCGTCTCCACCGCTAGATGAAGTTGAAACGTCCCGTGGCCAAAAAAACACAAACCCATCGAAATGAGAACAAAAGACAGCGGCACAATCGGAAATAACAGCTGGCAACGAAATTCATCAACAACTCGGTATGCAGCGTTCAAAAAAAGAAATGACGCAGGCCGGGGATTTGTAATCGTCTGCCGAAGCGACACGTGCTATTGCCATTCATTTCAAGCGCAACTCTGAACCGATAGAAAAAGAAATAACAAACAATAACAACAATGCTACTGTGCGTGTCTTTTCTTGTCTTCTTTGCGGTTTGTGCCACGCGGCCTCCGGCGTGCGAGACTCGAGTTTCCAGTTCCCGATTGAAGATTCGTCCCCCGGCACGCGCGGCGAAACGTCGGACGACGCCGTCGCTCCAAACGGCGCGTTGGTAGGAGTTCAACGAAGCGACAACAACAGAAACCTGCCGAGCGTTCGAGGATGAAAAGGCAAAACGTCTCCTGGAGACTCTGGGCACGATCGATGGCAAATTGGCGAGGACTACGCGACAAAAAAAAACCAGGCCGTGGTTTCCGTCGACAAGAAACCAGGCCGTAGTTTCTGTCGGGACAAGGGAGGCGAGCAGGGGAAGAGGCCCGATGCGCCGTTGGGGGAGCCCTCTGTAAATTTGACCGCAATTCCAATTAACTCGGAAAATCTTCCAGAATCCGTTTGGCGGAACAGAAACGCGATTTCGTGCAAACTCGTGAGCGAAATCAATGGGGGCGAATTACTTCCTTAGGGGGGGGAGGGGGGGGGCAGTGCAAGGCGATTGTTCGACCACTCGTTCAACACACCTTGCGTACCCCACCACCACCACCACCAACAAGAAGCAATGCTTCCGAGCGAATATCTCGCGCCGTCGACGGGAAAACCGAGTTGACAGGAAAACCTTGCAGGACCTGCGGTCGCTGTCCGGGTCCACCCGAGCGAGTTTTTGCTCCGCAGGGCTGCGTCGACACAGGGTGGGGGGGGGGGGGGGTTGAACCGGGCTGAGTGGACAGCCGAGATCGACTATTGACGCAGCCCTGCGAGTGCTCGCTGATGCACGGCCACTGCTGGAGGAAGAGGCCCCTGCACTAGAGGCCGCTCCAGAGGGCAGAACGACGCTGGAAAAATAAACAAACCCGGATATAAAACGCACGCAGTGGCGGCAACAACAACAGCAACAACACAGATAGAATTAAACATCCCATTTAACATTCGCCGGTTAGAGCTCGCAGGTTATACATATATATGTATATATATACCTTAAGCCAGGACCACACCTGGGCCATCAGTTGCATGGGACCCAAGTTGCCGGCGAGTTGCACGCAATTTAGTTACGTGCAACTTGGTTGCGTGCAACTTAGTCACATACCCGTGCAACTTTGTTACACGGTCGTGAAACAACTTGGTTGCGTGCAACTTGGTCACATACCCGTGCAACTTTGTTACATGGCCGTGAAACCACGTCGCACGGCCCGTGCGAAGTGGTTGCACGGCCCGTGCGAAGTGGTTGCACGCAACTGTGGCCGCACCGGCCTCTCGCCTCGACTCTTGGGGGTCAAGTGCTACCGAGTCGAGTTGCCTGTGCGCGGACATCGACATTGGCGGCTTAGTACGCCCCGAGTGCTCGGCTGCTTGCAACGCGGTCCGAGCGCAAACCGAGTCACTCGTGCGTTGCGGCAAACGCTCGCCGGCCGTCCGTGTCCCTCGCTACGCAACCGCTCGCTCGGACGCCGACTGAGAGGCGCTTGCGGGGCGACGGACGAGTCGAGGCGAGCGCTCTGCTCAGGTGTGGAACCCCGCGGTTGACACGAAAACAAACACGCGCATGCAACACGCGCGCGCGCACGCATCGCTCTGTAAAGTGCAATGATAACAATAAGAGGTCGTTGGGAAGAGCCGCGAGGTTTGTAGGCAGCTTAACCATTCCTTTCACACGGGTAAAACGGCTTAATAACAATAATACTTCGACGCGTTTGCAAAATCAAAACGAATGATCATCGCTGTGCAGCACCACAAAATGTTATTTGACCAGAGGCAGCGGCGGGGAGAGAATTAGGGTCGGTGGGTCCATAAGTAACGATGTGTGCTGCATAGATGTCTCACACACACACACAGCTCACACACACAGCTCACATGGCTCACACACACACACAGCTCACACACACACCAGCTCACACAGCTCACACACACACAGCTCACACGGCTCACACACACACAGGTCACACACACGGCTCACACACAGCTCACACACACAGGGAAAGAGTCTTGAGATCAGACACACACACACACACACAAAGATCACAGGCATCCTCGTGTCACTCAAACCTCAGAGACAAAAGCAAACATCTCACACATCCACTCACGACAAGAGTTCACACACACCCAAATATGTATCGATATCACGTGCACAAAACAGACACAGATTATAGATATACTGCAAAGACAAAGATCCCCCGAATAGCCTTTAACAAACTATTGAAGGCCGGCACGGCACACGAGCGGGTGGATGGCCAGCACCACGCCCGACCGCCTTTGTCTCCCCAGTGGCGATGTTTACACACCGCACCAGGTACTGGTTTTAGGCTGGGTCGACCTAGGAGAGGCCCAGGACCGGTGCAGATATTTGTCACGGGAATCGAACCCGGGTCGCCGGGTTCGTAGCGCAGCGCGCTAACCGCTACACTACCGCTCCCACACCCAGACACAAAAAAGACACGCACACACACAAACGTACTCGCACAGACACACACTCTCACAGACACACACTCTCACAGACACACTCGCACACAACCGGGCACACGTACACACATTCACACACGCACGCACAGCAGTAGCGCAAGCCATGGCGATTGATTGGGAGTAATTTTAGAACAGCAAAATAACGAAGCCAAAATAACTGCACGACCCATCAACTCCCACCTCCACCACCGCCGCCGCCTTCCTCCTCCGCTCTCTCCCGCTTCACCCTAGGCAGCAGTGTTACCATCCTTACAGAAAGTGAACCTGGCCCCTGCCATGTGAACGTGGACTTTCCACCAAACAGTTCGGTGACCTACAAACAGATCCGATTTCCGCTGGCTCACAGAGTCACCCTGGCACGAGATTTTCGCGACACTAGGCCGAGCAATTCTGGGTTTGATCCCTGGGTCTGGGTCTCTCTCTGTCTTGGGGTGTTTTCCATGATCACCGTGTCGGAGATGCCGACAACCGGGGGTTCAATCGCTGCATCTGGGTCTCGGGTCCATTCCCAAATCTCTTGGTGGGGTTCATAACAAAGGTGCTACCCCTATCCCCTCCCTTTGATGCTGCTAATCCTGCATAATGCACGGGCATAATATGACTTTGAAACCCCCCGCCCACCTCCTACGCATTTCACAAGTAGTACTAATCCCATATCTGCATTTCCCATAAATATGCTAAATTCCTCTTGATATGCAAATTCTTTTGTCAAGGCGCCCTTCTCCCCTTCCAACCCAGCTTAAATATACGCTCCAAGCCTGGTGGAGTTTCATTCAGACGCTGTCTTCCCGACAGACCTGTTCTTCACCTGAGGACGGCTGCTTGCGTTGTGGCCGAAACGTCGTGAGAATTATTTTATTATGTTTGAATTTTATTATTTTATTATTTCCCTTCTACGTGACTTTACCAAAAGAACCAAGAAGAAAAAAACAAAGGTGATGTCAACACGCCAAGGGAGCCCGAGTCCAATCCCTGGGTCTGGGTTTCTTTCAGTTTCATTCGAGAGTGGGGGCCGATTTCGATTCACGAGCCTGGATCTCTCTCACTTTCTTTCCGAATATCAACTAGCGCAGAATTTTGGGGGGGGGGCGGAAGAAGGGGTCACATCATGTCACGGTAATATGGAATTTCCACCGCTAGCTCAGGACCGACGGAGGGAGGCAGAGAGGCGTGGCGGAGTTCTGGCTACGGAGCATGCGGCGGTTGAGATTCATCCCGCAATTTGTGTGCAGCATGGAGCGCGCGGCGCGCGTGGTGCGCGTGGCGTGCGTGGTGCGTGGTGGCGCGCGTCACAATCTCTGACGCTTGTTCCATCTTGCCAGATGGATTCTCTTTATATTTTCTGCCCACGAATTGATGTCCGCTGTGGTCGCGCGTTCTCTCTCTCTCTCTCTCCCACACACACACACAGAGGGGTTCTCAACGGCCCCGTCTCTCCCGAATCTCTCTCCCGTGTCTCTCTTTCTCTCTCCCGGCGGGTTCATAATGGCCATGTCGGAGAGAGAGCTCCATATCCTTGGTCAGATTGTTTTCTTCATCAATATTTTCAGGACGTTCATACAACGGCCATGTGAAGAGTCACTGAGCCAGCAGTGGAAAGAACCTGGCTTCGTACCATGGGACAAGGTCTGTCTTGAAAGGGGGGGGGGGGGGGGAGGTGGGTGGGGAGATTCACAATGGCTATGTCAACTCAGAGAATGCTGACCACTGGCTTAGATCCCACAGAGCCATTTCTTCTCTTGTTATAACTCTTGCTGTAACCCTTGCCTTAGCTTGGCCTTGACCACATGGTGCAGTCCGCTTTACACGAGCCGGAGCGTTATGACATCTCAATGGCATGGCATCGCGCGGGCGAAACCACGAGTCGGCATGGGTGGCGCGTTCATGCGAACTCCCCTGCAGCCGCCGGATGCGCTAGCAATTCATGGCTAAAAAACTAGATTTGAAGCTTTCGTGACTGCAAGGATTCATACTCTTAGGTTATTTCAGTAAAGTCACGTAGGTAAAATTATTTTATTTTATTAATTGATATAGCAATCGTGCTGTGACGGTTCCACCTGAAGACGGAAGCTTGTGTTGCCTCCGAAACGTCGTGATTTTTTAAAATTAATTTTCATTGAATTTTTTTACCTACGTGACTTTTACAAAAAAACCTAAGAGTATCATGGCTAAAAAACTAAAATATGAAAAAAATATCGCGTACCTGGAATCAAACCACGGACCCTGGATCGTCGGATTGCCGGGGATGAGGGTGAGCGTCGCACCCCTGATCGGACGATACTTTTACGAAGTTAAATGAACGAGATGCTTGTTTAGTTGTGCATTCACGCGTTCGCTCGAGAGTTAGACGGCTTCGCTTCATTTTGTGTTTTTGCGGAGGACAATCTCAATTCAACGGATTTAGAAAAATAAAAACGATTTGGGAATCAATTCCAGAATTGGGCATAGGAATTGACACGCGCGCACGCACGTACGCGTGTGGACGCACGTGCATATAGAGGCGCACATGCACACGTGCGCAAGCATGCCCGCAGATGCTCATGCAAAATAAAGTAAAAGCCGAACGCCGGATGATTATTTTTTTCACGTATATAAATCGATTCCGGAATACGTTCCCATTCTGTTCGTCTCGGCTTGAAGCATTGGGGGGCGGAGCCCGAGTCCACAGGTGGGGGGGGGGAGGTGTGGGCACTCAGTTTAGCCAATCGGAGAGTGCCTACCTAACGACTTTTGACCAATCCAACACGGGGGGGGGGGGGGGGTTGCGATTACGATCGACAAGCTGTCAATCCGACCGAGCGATGAGGTGCGACGCACGGAGCTCCCAGAGATCCAGACGAAACTTCGTAGCACCACGTGGGACTCGCAGTCATCGTCGTCGTCGCGCAAACAACACAGCCGCGAGATCCGGCAGACAGAAGGAAGACACCGACTCGGATCCACCACCCTCCCCGACCCGCCGATTTGACAATTCCACCAAAATAAATCTCGACCGCGACAACCGGGCAGGGGCCGGCCGCGACATCCACGGCCCGCACCTGGGCAACACACGGGGCTCGCGACGCGGCGGTGAGGAGGGCAGGAGGTGGTGGCTGCCCTAGAGGAGGGGGTGGCCTCCGAGTGCGGGGAAGTCGTCCGCCCCGGGGCCGCCGCCGCCGCCGACGGTGGGCCCGGCGAGCGAGGAGCCCGAGGCCGCGTCGTCCGCCTGTGGCGGCTGCTGCGGTGGCGGCGGATGTGGCGGCGTGGACCGCCCGACCGAGGTCCGGCGGCCCCACGGCTCGGCCTTGACCCGGTAGAACTTGGTCCCAACCGGGACGCGGAAGCGGTTTTGGGCCTAGGGGTGGAAACGTAATGGACACACACGCACACGCGCGCGCGTACATGCACACGTATGTGCACGCACGCAACGTGCACACGTACGCATATGAACTCGCACGCACACATATGTACACACATACGTACGTGCATACCCAGTACATACACGTGTACGGACATACACAGATACATACAGGTGTATGGACATACCCAGTACATACACATGTACGAACATACACAGATACATACACATGTACGGACATACACAGATACATACATACACAGATATGTTTATACACACGTACATACATATAAACAACAACCGCCATTCGCCACTAAGTGGCGGTGACGTCACCACGACGCTTGTGCCAGTCCGGCAAAACAAGCCCCTACCTCCTCGCGGTGCCGGACGGGCAACACTGTCGTGGACAGTGCTGTGTGGGGAGGATCAATGCCCATTGGGCTCTCCCCTCATGGCGTCTGTGACCACCACAGTGGCTAAACGGGGGCTCTACGATGTAAACATACATATATATACACACATCTACATACGTCCATACATTCACACGCATGCACGTACACTCCCAGGTGACTCTTGCTCGTGAAACTCATCGTGCTCTCGTCTCGCCTGGTGAAACTAAATAAACTTGAATCGGCATACATGCACGCACACAAAGACTTGAACAGACTGTTGGGGCAAGCACTGCTACAGAGCAGCACCTGTGAAGGCCGGCCACGGCACACGAGCGGGGTGGTGTGGCCAGCACGACGTGCCGGCCACCTTTGTCTCCCCAGTACACATCGGGTACTCATTTGAGGCCGAGTCGACCTAGCGGGTGTCCACGACCGGTTGAGAAAATCGCCAACAAGGCGTTGGTGGGTGCGAACGGGGGAATCTGACTGTCGCCTGATGAAGCTGGTTGTAATTACTGGCGAAACGTCGTACTCAAGATTGTAAATGTTGTGGCTTGGCTCTCCAACACACCGGTGTTGCTGTACTAGTACACTACACTATACACTACACTACTATACACTACACTATACACCACACTACTATACACTACACTACTATACACTACACTATACACTACACTACTATACACTACACTATACACTACACTACTGAACACTACACTATACACTACACTATACACTACACTACTATACACTACACTACACACTAGTGCTGTACTAGTGACGAATTGGCCACGTTCTGTTTACGTGACAACCCTTACTAGTTGACTGTGTTGGGTGGTGGCAGGTTTAAACGACACATTTATATATTTACGCGATCTGACCCAAAAACACCTCTATTATGGGGGAATCGAACTCGGTTCGCCAAGGTTCACAGCGCCACAGGCTCCCCCCCCGCCCCCACCACACACGCAGAGACCTCCGATGTACGACCCCCGTCGATCGACTGTAAAGAGGTCTGCACGGGAGACGAATCGTGCACGGGGCAGTACAGCAAGTGGGCAGTTTGGCGGCCGGCGGCCGGTTCGTTAAAAAAGCCGCTGCCGCTCTGAACTCAATTGACCCTCCGATGTTCACGGCCGGTGGGGGCTGACCAATGCCGTAAGGGAACGCGGATTTTTTAAGAGGCACCTCCCATTCGCCCACAACAACAACAACAACAACCGCCACCACCAAAGAGACCGCAAAGAGAAGCGCGCGGTCGGCTCAGTAAAACCCACGATGCCTCACGGGCCCACGAGCTCCATCGCGCCGTTCCTTTTAATCGCGGTCACTGGGCACTTCCCCCCCCCCCCCCGCCTTCACCTGCCAAACCACCACCCCCCCCGTCCACCCCCGCGCATGATCAATAGCTCTAGAGGGCGAAGCACCCACACCACCCCCCCCCCCCCATCTCAAACCCCCACCAGCACCGTCGCAGGCAGATGAGAGAGCGGTAGCTTGTCTAGCCAGTGACTGGACTGCCAGTCATCCGGATGGGTCAGAGGCCATTCAGGCAGACGGATATTCTCTCAAGCCAGAGGCCATTCAGATAGACAGCCAGAAATCTGCACAGGTCAAAGGGCCATTCAGATAGACAGGCTGATATCTGCACAGGTCAAAGGGCCATTAAGATAGACAGCCAGACATCCAGACAGGTCAGAGGCCATTTCAGATAGACAGCCAAATATCCGCACAGGTCAGAGGCCATTCAGATAGACAGCCAAATATCCTGACAGGTCAGAGGTCATTCAGATAGACAGCCAAATATCCGTACAGGTCAGAGGCCATCCAGATAGACAGCCAGAAATCCGCACAGGTCAAAGGGCCATTCAGATAGACAGGCTGATATCTGCTCAAGTCAAAGGCCATTCATATAGACAGCCAGACATCCGCACAATTCAGAGGCCATCCAGATATGCACACAGGTTGCCCATCGTAATTCCACACTCTAGCGCCGGGGTCGGAAACAAAAACAATATAATGATTCGGTACAAAACTCAGCATTTCAAGAGCCGCACGTGGGACTTAGCGGTGAGCACTGGGGAGGGCAGGGAGAGGAGGAGATGTCTTGACAAGGTCTATCACGTGTGCGGTGTGAGAGTTCACCTTCTTGGCCTGGCAGTACTCCTTCTCGGTGATCCTGCCCAGCACCCAGGGCTTGCGTGGCACGCCAGGGACTGTGGAACCAAAGTACCGCACGCACACACACACACAAAGGTAAAGACAAAGATCCGCCATGGTGGCAAGAGGTTATAACTACCTCGCCTGGTATACAGGAGGTCGTGGGTTCCATCCCGACCCTGACACCTGCTGTATATTTGGAGTTTGCGTCTCTCTCTCATCATCATCACGGTGGCTAGGAGATATTAACTACCTCGCCTGGTCTACAGGAGGGCATGGGTTCGACCCCGACCCTGACGCCTGCTGCTGTATATTTGGAGTTTGCGTGTCTCTCTCTCTCATCATCATCACGGTGGCTAGGAGATGTTAACTACCTCGCCTGGTCTACAGGAGTTCGTGGGTTCAATCTCGACCCTGACGCCTGCTGCTGTTTATTTGGAGTTTGCGTGTCTCTCTCTCATCATCATCACGGTGGCTAGGAGATGTTAACTACCTCGCCTGGTCTACAGGAGGGCGTGGGTTCCATCCCGACCCTGACGCCTGCTGTATATTTGGAGTTTGCGTGTCTCTCTCTTTCTCATCATCATCACGGTGGCTAGGAGATGTTAACGACCTCGCCTGGTATACAGGAGGGCGTGGGTTCGACCCCGACCCTGACGCCCGCTGTATATTTGGAGTTTGCGCGTCTCTCTCTCTCCCCGTGGTTGCGTGGATTTTCTCTGGGTCCTCCGACTTTTCCCTCCATATTGAGAAACACGCGTTTAGAGGATTTGGCTGCTATAAATTTGCACGTGATAAGCAATTTTCTTGAGCTATTATTTGTGGCCAGGTCGCTTCTGAAAAACGAGCAATATAACTCAGTTGGCTTTATCTGGTAAGATAAAATAAAAAATAGACTGTTGGGGCAAGTGCTGTTAGCAAGGAGCATCTATGCAGGCCGGCAAGTCACACACGAAGGGGTGGGTGGCCCACACCGCGCTCAGCCGCCTTGGTCTCCCTCGTTGCGATGTTTACACACCGCGCCAGGTACTCATTTAAGGCTGAGTCAACCTCGGGGAGACCCAGGACCGGTTCAGCTCATCGTCACTGGTATTGCTGGCAGTGAGCGGGAATCGAACTCGAGTCACTGTGCTTGTAGCGCAGCGCGCTAACCACTGCCCCACTCTCACCCACACACAAAGACAAAGATCCCCCACATAGGCTGAACAGACTGTTGGGGCAAGTGCTGTTAGCGAGCAGCACCTGTGAAGGCCGGCCACGGCACACGAGCGGGGTGGTGTGGCCACATGGCCTGACACCCACACACAAAGATCCCCCACATAGGCTTAACAGACTGTTGGGGCTGTTAGCGAGCACATGCCCTGACACTCACACACACTCTCACACTCTGCGGAACAGAGAGGGAGAATGCACACAAACCCAACGCAGAAAGGCGACCCGAATCGCAAATCGAACCCGGGCCCCCATTTTTTTCGCGCCAACGCTCCGCACCCAAATCTAGGCGTTCAACGCTTCCGTAAAAGCGTCTCCTGCTCACGTCTGCGCGCGTCTACCCGCGCGTGCGTACGTACGTGCATGTGTATCAGCCACCCTCCCCCCTCCTTTCAGCCACCCCCCCCCCTCTTAACCCGCCCCCCTTCTCGAGTTCAGACCCCCCCCCCTCCCACCCCAAGTCAAGTAATTTGGTCATTACACAGGCGGCTGGCTCGCGCGCCCTCCCGCCCGGCCGCATGTAATGCGACGAGGACGACGACGATAATTATTGTGATGACGCCCCGAGCCGGAGCATCACGCGGCAAAGGAAGCCCCCCCCCCCATCCCCCTCTTTGGCATCGATCTCCCACCGCCGATCGATGCGGCTCGCCGCGACCGCTTGTACTCGGCCGACGAGTAGGTTATTGCATATATGTATTTGTGTGTGTGTGTGTACGAAGCTCAATAAATAAGTGGTTAAGTGTCGGTCACGCGCATGACTGCGTGCGCGTGTGTATGTATGTGTGTGTCGGGCGTGGTGCTGGCCACCGACGCGCTCTCGTGTGCCGTGCCGGCCTTCCTAGGCGCTGCTCGCTAACAGCACTTGCTCCAACAGCTTGTTGAGGCTATTCGGGGGATCTTTGTCTTTGTAGTGATAGTGTAGCGGTCAGCGAGCCGTGCTGCCCTTCGAACCCCGGCACCCCGAGTTCGATTCCCGGTCACGGGCAACAGCGGTGACGATTATATAAACCGCTTATGGCCATCCGCTAGGTCGACTCAGCCTCAAAATGAGCACCTGATGTGGTGTGAAAACATCGGCACTCGACAAAGGCGGGCCGGGCGTGGTACTGGCGACTCACACCTTCGTGTGCCGTGTCAGTCTTCCGAGTTGCTACTCGCTCACAGCACTTTCCCCAAAAGTCCGTTAAGGCTATATGGGCGATCTTTGTATCGGTTTTGTAGTTCGATACATACAAAAAGACACAGATGCCCCTGATAACCTTAACAGACTGTGGAGAGAAATGCTGTTAAGCGAGCATCTACGAAGGCCGGCACGGCACACGAGGAGGCGGGTGGCCAGCACCACGCCCGGCCGCCTTTGTCTCCCGAGTGCCGACGTTTTACACACCGCACCAGGTACTCATTGGAGGCTGAGTAGAGGAGGCCCAGCACCGGTTCACGGGGAGCATAGCGCAGCGCGCTGACCGCTACACTACCGCGTGCAGACATCACACGCACGTACAAGCACAAATATTAAATCGACCGATAACCTTGCAAATTGTATAATGCACGAGTGTTGTTCAATGAGAGAGTAGTAATCCACTTTAAACTATTTGTATTTTATCCAGGTAAGGCCCACTGAGCTACGTGGATCTTTTTCAGAAGCGACATGGCTATCACAAATGACAGCTCAACGAAGTGTGATGTCTATTAGAAATGTGTGGGGGGGGGGGAACGGAGGACCTGGATAAAAATCCACACAAACACGGGGAGAGAGAGAGAGAGAACACCAAATATACAGCAGGCGTCGGGATCGAACCCACGACCTCCTGCATACCGGGCGAGGTAGTTAACATCTCGCAGCGTGCCGAGAGAAACGCTGGCAGGGGAGGTAAGTGATTACGCCTCGTTAGGTGAGGAGTCCGATTGGGATGTTGCGATCTTGACGGGGCATCGCCTCGCTGGGCGCGCGTGGGTGTGACAGATCACGGGGCAGAGAGATAGAGGGGGGTGGGGTGGGGGGAGGGGATCCGAGGAGGAGCTGGAAGGAGCGGGGTCACAGGCACTTGGGGCTCGGTGGTGTGGACGGTAGAGTCAGGCGCTGCGTGTATACGCCGCGTGTACGTTGTACGCATGATGTGTAAACCTTCGTTCGTTTTAATACATATTCCTGAGTCTGCCGAACTCACGACTAAGCACGCACGAGTGTGTGTGCATGACTCGTCTGTGTGTGTGCGCACGAGTGTGTGGACAGCGTCAGTGCAGCGATTGGCGCGCTGCGCTCCGAACCTGACGACCACGAGTTCGATTATCGCTCGGTCGACTCAACCTCAAACGACTACCACCCTGGTACCGGTGCGTAGACATCGCCACGAGGGAGGCAAAGGTGGCCGGGCGTGGACCCGGCCACCCGCCTCGTGAGTTCGAAGAGCGCGCTCGACTCTCATTAGACGAGGAGCCACCAAAGGCGAGGGGCGGCGCGCCCAATCGGATTTGAATTTGCAGAGCCGCTCAAATCGGATTGGTCGTCAGCGAAAACTCAACGGAGACGAGGGGTCGATTGGGAGACCGTTACGGGGGGGGGGGGGGGGGGGGGGAACGAAGAGGGGGATTGGTCGAGAGTCGTGGAAAGTTCGGGAAAGGATGGTGAAGAGAATAGAAAGGGGTGGATAAGAAGGGAGTTCTCGGAGCGCTTGAACGGAGTTCCCGATGTGCGACGCGCTGTGCGGGAAAGACGGCACGAGGGCGAAGTTCAAGACTCATCCGGCTGGAACTCCTTTACGCGTGTTGTGTGTGAGTGCGCTTCCGCGCGTGTGTTTGTTTGTATGTCTGTTGAACTTCTTTCGCACAGTATGGACCCAACTGTGCTAATCGGAGGTGCGGGGGAAGGACAACTAATTGAACACTATAAGCAGTTCTAAAGAAATGAGTTTGTCAATCGAGATGATTTTTAAGTGCATAGCTCCAGCGGCATCCTAATATCGGACGCAAGAGCGTTCCAGACGGCCGCAGAAGCGCATCTGAAAGCACGCGATGGATTGACCGTGTATGTTTTTAGCGTGCACGTGTGTGTGTGTGTCTACGCGAGTCTGTGCGTGTACGAATGTGTGTACATGGCGCATGTGCTTTTGTACGTATTGAACCGGTGGCTGGGCCTCCCCGTGGTGGACTCAGCCTTAAATAAGTGTGTAAACATCGGTACTGGGGAGACAAAGGTGGTCAGATGTAGTGCTTGCCACTCAGCCTTCATTGGTTGCTCACAAACAGCACTTGCCCCTTCAGTCTGTGAAAGGCAATCCGGGGCATCTTTACCTTTGTGTGTTCGCGTGTGTTGCCGTGTGTGTGTGTGGAACAACATCTGAGACTCAAGGCCAAGCACTCAGCCCCCTGGCTCCACCCCCCCCCAGCCGCACAAACAATGACAAAGATCCCCCCTGTAGCCTTAACAGACTGTTGGGGCAAGTGCTGCTAGCGGGCAGCTACGAAGGCCGGCACATGAGGCGGTGGGTGACCAGGACCGCACTGGGCCAGCGCTGATATTTTTACACGCAACGCCAGGTACTCATTTCAGGCTGAGTCGACCTAGGGGGAAAACCGATTCAAATTTTCGCCGAACCGATGGTCGCCCCCCCCCCCCCCCGCTATCGAACTCGGGTCGCCGGGTTCGTAGCGCAGCGTGCTAATCACCGCACTACCGCTCCCCACACATACACGCAAACACGCGTACATACTCACACACGCAGACACGCGAACATACTCACACACGCAGAAGCAATTGCGACATGAACACACATCCTTACACGCCGACACACATATACACAAACTCAAACAAAAGACAAAGATCCCCCGTGAAGCCTTAAAA